CCTTCCCCTTCCCCTAGGCATGCGTGACCTTGAGGGGAGCCCCACTCTGTGAGCTTCCAAAGTCTCCTGATGAATTAGAAAACCAGAGCCATTTGGGGAACCTCTTGGTCCTGCCGTCTTGGGGCCAGGGATGGGGGTGTCCTCGGGTCAACTCACCCAAGTGTGTGAAGAGGGGCCTGCGGTTGACGATGTGCACTCTGGTCATGTTGGGAGTGACCGTCAAGAAGGTGACATAGTCTGGGGAGAGGCAGAGGGTCCTGGGGCCTCAGGCTGCTCACCTCAGTCAGAGCCAGCCGATCCCAGCTGCACTGGTGAGGCTGTGGGGCCGCTTCGCGGCACCTGCAAGGGCACTGCCCCAGCTGGGCACCGGGACTGGATCAGAGGGCTCCTGCCCAGCAGGGTGCACCAGAGGGAGGCAGGCTCCAGCCCTCCGTGACCAGCACACACTGCCACTGGTGGGTACTGCTGTGTACGCCCAGCGCAGTCAGGGTTTGCGCAGGCCTGAGCTTCCCACCTGCTCGGGTCCCTGGTGGGACGTTCCTGGGGGGTTGGAAGAGCCCTGCCCACCCACATGCACAGTGTCTATTTTCTCTGTGCTGCAGCTATGGGGGTGCAGGGCTGAGCTGGCCATAGTGGCGGTCACCGCGGGGAAGCACAGGTTGAGACCCGGTGAGAGGCGCCCACAGGGCAAGCCAGCCGAGGCTCTGAGTGGTGGGCTCCAAGTTGCTGCTCCCTGCCCCTACCTCCGGCTGTGCCCCCCGTGAAAGAGCCATTTCGGGGGCTGCACGTGCTGTTGTCCCCTCCGCACACCTGGCACACATCCCACACCTGCCCAGAGTCCATCCTGCCATCGCAGCCAAATGTCTATGCAAAGGGACAGCAGAGGGCCAGGGTCAGAGGAGGAAATGTCCCCTAATGCCCCAACCCTGCCGGCTCTGAAGTTCAGGAAGTGAGATCGGCAGGCTCACAGTTGTCCCCCAGGCTGTGGCAGGAATCATGACCTCAGCCACCCTTGTCTCCCCTATTTCCAGCACTGCGCCCCTCTGCACCACAGACCTGCCTGGGTCCTTCCGAAGGCACAGGCAGGCCTCGGGGCCACGAGGGTTGGAGAGGCACCCGGCTGGCCACACACACCTACCCGGCAGCTGCCCAGCACGCACAGGCCCAGGGTCCCATCCTCCTGGGGGCTGCTGGGCACACAGCGGGTCCCATCCAGGAACCTGTCTCCACGCCTCGCGATGAAGCCCTCCCCAACAGCCCAGCACACGTGTCTGCACAGAGGGTCCCCTGCAGGGCAGAGTGTGGCAAGGCTGAGGAGAGGCGGGCCCTCACCGCCCACCCCGCCCCCAACCCTCCTCCCTCAGTTTTGGGCAAGGTGTCTACCCCAGCTGCCTGCCCTCCCTCCTGAGGCAGCACCAGTCACTGGATGATGAGCTCAGTGCTGTGCTTGGCGTCTCCCCTGCCTTCTCCTCCCTGAATCCTTCTCCAACCCCAGGGAAAGGCGCCGCCACTGCCTTCAATTCCGAGACAGGAAACAGGCTCAGAAATGGGCCCCGCTGCGCATCAGCTGGGAGGCTAGGCCGGGCGAGTACCACAGCCCACGGGGTGCCAGGGTCTGCCCTGCCCAGCCCTAAAGTGACCGTGGCCTGGGGAGAGGCCCTACACTACGACGCACCTCGGCTGTACTGCACAGCGGCACCCCAGTGGTAGAAGGAGGCGCCCCCCTGGGCGAGGGGCAGCGGCTGTCCGTCTGTCTGGGCACACTGCTCGGACATGAACTCCAGCTGGGTCTTCTCGCAGGCCTGGCATAGTGGGCAGAGGACAGGCACAGGGGCCCCTTGGCACAGAGCCAGCATGCACCCCTCGTGCGGGTCAAGACATGGGTGGCCCGGCTCTGGGCTGGGCTGCGGAGGCAGTGCCAGCGCCTCTGCCTTTGTCTCTGCCAACAGGAAAGATCTAGAGAATGGGTACAGGACACAGGGACAGCAGGAAGGAGCGCTGCGCTTGCGGGGCCTCTGAGGAGGGGCTGACTCCCACTATTCCCTGGGTCGTAGGTGATCTCCAGACCAGAGGGCACCAGCCCCACTCCAGCTCCCGGGCAGGCATCTGGGTGCCCTCTGCACTGGAGAGACTCAGAACCAACCCCCTGGGCATCACTGGTGACGGGAAGGCGGGCAGAACAGGGCGCTGCGCGGAAGGCAGAACAACAGCGAGGGGGTTCTGAAGTCAGCGCTTGGTCCTGCGTCTGTCTGGAGGGCTTGCTGCGGTTGACAACAGCACCCCTCCAAGTCCCTCACCCTTCGACCTCTGAAGACAAGGGCTCTGCCTTGGTGGCTGGGGCCACACCCGGCAGAAGGGGCTGGAAGGACTCACAGGCCCTCCTCCCCTCCTTGTCTCCCGCCATAGGAGGACTGTGTGCCCTTCCCAGGATGACACAGCCACAGGACAGGGGGCCACCTGGGCACAGGGAGCAGCCCCCAGGGGCACACCCTGCGGGGACCTTGACTGGAGCTCCGGGCTGCAGAACCAGGCAGAGCCCACATCTGTGTCTATAAATCACCTGCAGGTGGCCCTGTGTTGCGCAGCCCGTGCACCCTGAGACGGGCGCTTGGCCCAAAGAAGCAAGGGCAGGGACCCCACACGCCCTGCACAAGCTCTCTCGCACACCACAACTGGCAACAGAAAACAGGTGGCCATGACACCAATGCCCACCAGTGCACGAGGCCAAAGGATCCCCGGGCTGTCTGGCCACACAATGGCTTACATTTGGCGCCATGTGGGAGTGCTGGTTGTGCAAACTGCAGGGGACCTCACACTTTGACAGGGGTGACATCGTGCTCTGCGATTCCACCCCAGTTCGTAAGTAAAAAGAAAACCTCTTCTTCCAGTGGAGGGGGCACTGCAGGGGCAATTCTCACTGGCAGGGGACACTTCAGTGTCTGTGCTGGTCACCACAGATCCTCCTGCTGTGGTCCTGGGGTCCCTCTCACAAGTGAGACATGACCCCCCAGCCCTTCAGTGATTTCTCTGCGGCACACCTACCTGAGTGTTACACATCTCAGCCTGCAGGTCGGCCCCGGGGCAGGTGCGGCCCCCGAAGGCGGGCCTGAAAGTACAAACACGAGGCTGAAAATCTTTTTTTTTTTTTTTTTGCAGAACCGGGGATTGAACTCAGGCCCTTTTGCTTGCCAGGCAAGCACTTATTCTACTGAGCCGTCTCCCCGACCCCAACACAAGTCTGAGAGGTGACCACTGCTCCCCGCCCCAGGGAGGGCTGGCACCCCACTGCACCGTACCTGGGGTTGTCACACCGCCGCCTCCTGGTGACCACACCTCCTCCACAGGAGCGGGAGCAAGGACTGCTGGGGCCCCAGCTGGACCAGCGTCCATGGACAGCCGCCATGGGCATCAGCTCTGCCAGGGCATGGCAGCGGCCCTTGAAGCACCACTGCGAGACAAGGACAGCTCCGTGTACACCCCAGGGGACACCATCACGCACAGGCAGGACCCCATAGTGACCCTGCCCTCATAGGCTCCCCTACACCTCACTCTGCTTGGGACTAACATTAAAGGGCAGAGGTCAGACCACCAACAGGAAAGACAGAACAAGGGCCTGGCCACCCACTGAGCAGGAAGCAACCAGGGGGCCTGGGTGGGGAACAAGCAGGTGTCTGGGGGAGCCCAGGCCACAGACTTGCAAGCTCACCCTTCTCTATACAATGGGGCACAACACAACACCTGTGCCCAGGGCTGAGGAGGTGAGATGGTGCCCTGTGCCCGGAGGTGGGGTTCAGTATGCCGCGCTCTCCAGGTCTGCAGGGGCTCTACGCTCACCGAACCCTCAGCCTTGTAAGAACCAAGCAGGGTCCCACAGGGTTTGTTCCTCAAACCCAGAGACCCACGCAGCGCAGCCTGGAGGGCTCAGCTGTCCGGCAAGCGGGCCATACCCAAGGTGCCCCGAGCATTTGGCTGCCACCCTCTGGCCACCAGATCGGAGAGGCAGCTCTGGTCCTCTCTTCCCATCCCTTCATTACTGACCTCTTGCTTCCTGCTGCAGAGTCAAGGGTCCAGGCCAACTCTCCTGCCCACACCTGCCCACATCACACCTGCGCAGTCACCTATCACACACCCCTGAGCATACACCTGTATGCACACTGGTACACATGCACACCTGTGCACACACCTGAACATACACCTGGGCACCCAGCTGCACACATACACACCTGTACAGACGCCTGTACCCAGCTGCACACATACACACCTGTACAGGCGCCTGTCTACACCACACACACACACACACACACACGATCAATCTCTTGTCCTGTGCCCAGACCTTCTCTACACCGCATTCTGTCCCATCCAAGAGAGGAGCAAGGCGGCGGCTGCAGCTGCTTTGATCCAGGGGGTCTGTGTGGCAGGACAAGGCCTGGCACATGTCCTAGGATGGAAACAGGAGGTCACTCAGCAGCCACCAGGCAGCCAGGGCCCCTCTTGGACCACAGGACACACTGACAGCCAATACCTAGCTCTGACAAAGCTGATGGAGGTATAAAGCCTTAGTAGTTTCATGGAGGAGGGAGCCCACTTGGGCAAAAGGCTGGGGTCTGCACTGTCCGGGCAGCACTGGGAGGAAGACTGCCTCTGGGGTGCTCGCCCCCCACCGCCGCCCCGGGAGGAGGCCGCCTCCTCCAGGCCGGGAGCCCTTGGAAGCTGTCGGGGTTGACAAGCTCATCAGACAGGTGACCCTGAGCACAGTGCATGCCAGGACCGTGGACATAATCTGCACAGCCCCAACCAACAGAACGGCGAGGACCAGCCAGGTGTGGCCGTGCATGCCTGCAACCCCAGATGCAGGAGCAGCAGGCATGCCAGGAGCTCAAGGCCAGCCCGGGCTACAGGGTGACACCTTGTCTAGAAGAATAACGTAAGGATTTTCATTCCGGAAGTTCAGGATTTCAAGAGGCGGCTGACAGCTTGACACGGGACGCAGCTGTCCCACCGTGTGCCTGGCACTCAGTGTGTGCACAGTATACTCACCAGCCCCTCCCTGGCAAAAGTGCAGGCGACAGCAGCCGAGCCAAAGGCAGCGCGGCACTGCTCGTCCACGCCATAGTAGAGGCCAGGCTGGGCGTCAGACAGGTGGCCCGCGGGTCCCTGAGGCGACTGTGGTGGGTCCCACATGCAGCGTACCTGCCCTGTGCTGGGATGGGTCCTGGCTTAGGCTCCGGGAGCAGGCCAGGTGGTGGGCGGGTAGACAGGGGGGTGGGCACAGGCCCTGGGGGGCACAGGCCGGCATGTGACGGGAGATGGAGGAGGGGCCAGGCAGAGAGGCAGGTGTTGGTGTGCAGACAGGACTGCAGCAGGGTGGGTGGGGAAGAGGGCAGCTGGGCAGGCGGACGGTGAGCGTAAGGGGTGGAGAGAGTGGGGATGGGCAGGAGCGGGTCCGGGAGGGAGAAGAGTCCCGGGTCAGAGATGAGTGGGCACCGCATCACGGCTGGGGCTCTGGCGCTGTGCGTGGGGGCCATACCTGAGCAGCTGCTGCAGCTGCCTGCGGCTACAGGGGGACCACACGTGACCCCTGTGGGTGGTCGCCACACCATCAGATGCCATTACATGTCCGCTGGGCCCACAGCCACTGCCAAGTGCCCCATCATGGCTCAGGCCGAGGCTGAGGACAACCGGCAGAGTCAGGGGCTGGACTCCCTAGTTTCCCGACTTGGGTCAGCCCCTACCCACCCCGCCTCCACCAACTAACCAAGCACAGTAGAGACAACAGCCAGCTCTGCCTGAGCTTCCTACCTGTGTGGCAGGCAGCACCGGCCTACGGTGGCTCCTATCTCTTTTGGCAATTAATTCTTGAGAGAATTTTAAGGTGAGCAGCCCAACTCCCCCTGAGCATCACACCCTGGAAGGGCCCACAGGGGAGGGGCCGGGCCTTGGGGCTGCCAGTGGCCCCTACTGCTCCAGGCTGCAAGCTGAGCCTATGCGCTGAGGAGCAGAAAGTTCCAGGGAAGAGGCTGGAACGCTCTCCCTGCCCTCGCGGCTGCACGTTGGCCCTTAGGCAAGCAGAAAGGATAGGGAGCCAGCCTGCCATCAGGCCTGAGGGAGGCCTCCAGCCCAGGCGCTGGTGGGGAGCACAGTTAAAAACAAACAAAAAAAAACTTTCACTTTTTAGCCAGGCTCGGGTTTTGCACAAAACCCGCCTGAAATCCCAGCACTGGGAGGCAGGAGGATTGTCTCCAGCTCAAGGCCGGCCTGGGCTGCATAATGAATTCAAGGCCAGTTTGAGTCACAGACCAAGATCCTGTCTCAAAACAATCAAAAAGAAATGTTCAAGGGCCGGCCAAATAGCTGAGCAGATTAAAGTGCCTAGAGGCAGGCACAGGGGCCTGGGTTTCCATCCCCAGCCCTGCCGAGCCGCCCGCCTCCAGGGCGCACCGAGAGGGCAATTGAGACTGGGCGTGGTGGCGCACACCTGTAATCCCAGCTCTTGGGAGGCTGTAAACAGGCGGATCACTGAGAGTCTGATCTAGTAGAGAGACCCTGAACACCCTGTAGACCCTCCCCTAAAACACACACACACACACACACACACACACACACACACACACACATTCGCTTTTCACTGCATTGTCCCTATATTGTTCTCATCATGTAAAAAAACAAAACTCAAAAAAAGAAGCCTATCACCCTAAGTGAAAAGACAAAAGATAGGAGGAAAAATTTGACCACAGCAATGCACAATGTACCAAGCAGGACAAATTCAGAAACAACCTAAGTACCCAACGCGCAGGAATTAACCAAATAAGCTTTGGTGCATTAAAACAAACAAAAACACTCTAAGAGATCCAGCAGGGCTTTGGGGATATATTATTAGGCCAAAAAATAGCTCCCCATGAGCCAATCTCACACATAGACTATCATGGGCATATGAAGAAAAGGCTGAAACAGAAGCACAAACGAGAGGGACTTTCTTTGACTCATGGCGCTCGGGGTAACCGTGACAGCCTGCCTCGTCCTCACCGGAGCTTCCAACAGAACTTATCCGCTAGCGGCTGTTAACTTGCGTCTGGGAGCCTGGGGGCAGGCGGTGTTCTACCACGTGGTGTCCTGAGGTGTCAGGTGGCCCTACCTGGCCCCACCCCTGCCAGTCCGCGGGTCAGGCTTTGCCCAGGCCCACTGCCTGCCGAGACCCTCCACCCACCCTAGAGACAGAGCCTGGGCACAGCTGGAACAGCTGCATACCTGTGCCCGACCTCATGGGCGATGGTGACCCCCAAATCAAAGCCAGTGTCCTCTGTGATAAGGCAGCTCCAGGAGGGTGTGCAGGCGCCCCCCAGCTGGGTGGCCCCCCGCACCTGCCGATTGCCATCGGGCAACTCCAGGTCAAACCTTGGCAGGAGAGAAGAGCCAGCCAGTGGCACTACTTGCCCACGCCCGGTCACCTGGGCAGAGGGCTGGAAAGGTCAAGGTGCAGCGCTCCGGGCAGGTGCACACCACTGTGACTGGCTACCTGGTGACGTAGAGGACCAGATCCGCGTGCCTGGGATCCCCATCGTCTGCAGGGTTGACTGACTGGCTCCACTCACAGACGCTCCGCAGGGACGAGGTGAGGTTGGTGGTGATATTTGGGGTTCCCTGTGGGACCAGCAGCAGAGCCCGCTCTTCTGGGAGCTGCCCAAGCATGGTGCTGACATTGCTGAACACTTCTTGGGTATCTCACAACAGCCCCAGGACCATTCCTCATTACAGATGGGGATGCTGAGCCCCTTGGAAGTAGTCACAAGCCAGCCGGCCCCAAGGCACTGTGGGAGGGTAGAAGGGCGGGCCCGACCCCCACTGGGCGCCTACCTTGGGCTCTGTGAGAATGAGCAGCTTCACCAGGTGCACTTGGACCTGCACCCCCAGGGAAGGGTCCCTCAGCAGCTCAGAGCCCTGTGGAGGCAACACCGGCGGGCAGTGCCAGCCCCAGGCCCGGTGGAGACGCCAGGAGCCGAGCACCATCGGGTGTGCGCAGGGGTCATCCCCGGGCTGTGAGCCCATGGCAGATGGCAGACGGTCACACAAGCCTCCAGGCCCTCCCTGGTTGTGGCTCAGATGGCCAGCCCCCCAGAGGGAGCCCCGAGAGATGGCAGAGTGTGCGCCATCGCCCTCAGCCTCAGCCTGCACCAGTGTGGCCCTGTCCACACCGCCTGCCGGGAACACCCTGGCCTCTTCTCTGCTTGCTGGGTCCAACCTTGGGAGCCACCTCCTGTTACCACAAGCTGATTCCTGCCCGGGCTTTCTCGGTACACCGCTCATGACTGACCGTATTGCTTGCCCCGGCTTGTTCCCCCATAGCACGCGGGGCTGGTGGGAGATGAGCCTGTCACCGGCTACGGCTAGCCTGAGTTGGAACCAGTCTCTGCCCATTCCCAGCTGTGTGCTCAGTGGCCCGTTATGGAAGCGCTAAACCTCAGTCCCATCACCTGTGAAATGGAGACACAGCCCCCCCCCCCGTCAGCACACTTGGGGACCACATGGCTATGAAGGGGGGTGCCAGGACTGACAGTGGCTATTCCCAGCACAGGAGGCACAGGGTGAGCAGCTAATCTTCTCTCTGGCCCAGCAGCCCTCAGAGAGCAGGCAGAGGAGCCCAGGGAGCCTGTGCTGGGTGACTGGGCAGGGACAGAGGCCCCGAAGTTCTAGCACAGTGGCTTCCCCTGACTTGGAGGAAACAGTTCTCACTGCAAAAACCACCTTCGTAAAAAAAAAAAAAAAAAAAACACCTTCGTGGCCACTCGGCAGAAAACCTATATGAGGGTGTTTGGGACTGGGACCAGGACCGTGAAGAGGAGGCACCGCTGGGCCAGACGCCTGGGGACAGGACAGGGCAGGACAGCGCGGCTGGGGCCAAAGGGCACGCCTGCCTCTGCAGCAGGCCAGGGAGACGGAGGGAACAGGGGCTTCCAGCCACCCAATGAAACTAGGTCTTAAATGTCCTTTTGGTTTTTGTATTTTAGGAAAGGGCCTTCAGGGTGTTCAGGGTCTCACTACTATATATCGGACTTGTACTGATCCTCCTGTTTACAGCCTCCCAAGAGCTGAGATTACAGGTGTGCGCCACCACGCCCAGTCTCAATTGCCGTCTCAGCGCACCCTGGGGGTGGGGCCAGCACTGCAGACCCGGGGATGGAACCCCCTGCCCCTGTGCCTGCTTGCAGGCGCTTTAGTCCTGCTGAGCTATTTGGCCAGCCCCTTACATGTCTTTCAAATCCAGTCAGTCAGAAATTCAGAGCCACTTTTCGGTAGTGACCTACCTGCACTCTACAAAACTCGTGTCAGGGCACGGCACTGAGGTGGGCACAATCTTGCCCTCCCAGTCCGAGCCTGCCATTTTCTTTGCATGGTGTGTGTGTGTGTGTGTGTGTGTGTGTGTGTGTGTGTGCACATTTGTGTGCGCGTGTGTGTTCATGTATATATGTGTGCGCTCATGCGTGTGTTCACAGAAGAACTCCGACAATCAGCTGGCTAAACGTCCACATGGTACGGACCTCTCATCCTCCTGGGATGATGATGAGGGCCGTAGTGCATCTCCACCTGCTGGGCTGCCCCTCCGCCCCACGGGGCAGGGCTGGCCAGCAGAGGGCAGTGTGGGCAGCCTGTGCCTCTCAGCCAGGCAGCGCTGGCCCTGGGGATCTGAGGAGCGGAAAGCTGTGTGGGGGGTGAACTTGGAGAGCAGGGGTAGTCCCAGGCCTACACTGCAGGTGTGTAGACCCCGGCTTGGGGTCTGCACCTGAGTTCAGCTCACTTGGCATAAATGCACTGACACGCCAGGGTGCTCACAGCCGGGGCGCTGTGTCCCCCACCCTGCCCCAAGACTCACCATGTTGAGGTTGGTGAGCACGTAGTGCTCGGTGTCCTCCTGGTGAGCCTGGTGGACATCAGGGCCCACAGCCACCAGGAGCTCCAGGTGCAGGATGCCCCCTGCTGCCCGTCTCCACCTCCGTGTCCCTCTCCAGAGCGCAAGGGCAGGATCTCCTGGAGGACAGAGACAGGCTGGCTGGGCCGGAGGGATGCCCTGGCAGGAAGCCAAGAGGCTGCACAACATGGGCACCCCAGGGGCACTCCAGGTACATGAGAGGGTGAGCCCAGGAGGGAGTTTCTGTGACCATCTCATCTGTCAGAGGGACAAGGGTCCGCCACCGCAAGGGCTCTGTCCAAAGCCCCTGCGCTGTCTTCCTGGACATGGGCTGGGGAACAGGGTCACCCTGAGACACCACCCTTCTCGCACCCCGATACACCCTCGTGGAGGGTGCCCGCCAGGCCTGGGAGGCTGCAGATCCCCGCTGGGCCCCTGAGCCACGTAGTCCGGGATCAGCCGCATCCCGCCTTTGAGGCTCCAGGTCCCCACCTGCCACGAAGGAAACATGAGAAACCCTGTCCTGGCAGCCCGGGGCCAGGAGACACCAAGGGCTGGCGGCCACACCCCGCTAGGCACTCCCTGCCCCGAAATCTCAGGGGTCCCACCCAGCAGGGCATTCCCCACAGCCTTCCAGGGGCAGAGCCAGCCCTCCCAGCTGCCCCTGGTGGCGTGGCCCTCTCCCAAGAGCTGTACCTCGCACAAACTCCCGGGTGGCAGGACTATGGATCAGGTGGGGCAGGGCCCCACTCCAGGGAGGCACCAGCGTCCAGTGCTTCCTCTTCACCGGTTGCACATACAACCTGTCCGAGCCCACCTGGATCTCTCCCTCCTGCAGGAGAGGCAGCGGCCTCAGGTGCAGGGCTAACGCCATGGGCTAGTCACTACCCCATTTTGCACCTGGCTCTACCACCTACTGACTGGGTAGGCTGGGGACACTTGGCTGGCCAATCTAGGCCTCTGTTGCCCCCTGGGAACAGGGTCCTTGTCCATTTGATTTTAGGCAGACAGGATGTGAGGCCACTCCAGGATGTTGGCCACACAACGAGGGATTTGGGATGACACCTCTATACACAGGGTCCCACCAGGCACAACCTGTCCCCTATGCTGTCCCAAGCCCCTACTCACCAAGTGGCCCGAGCAGTATGTGACCCTGGCCACTGTGCCCGGGGGCAGCAGGGCACGTCCCCTCATGAAGCAGTGACTGAGGGACCCCTCCAGCAGCCGGAGGGAGACATTCACCATGGGCTTGCTGGTGAAGGAGTGAGCCATGAGGCCCCGCTCAGGCCGGAAGGAGAAGGCAAAAGGCACTCCTGGAGCACTCAGGGAGCAGTGCAGGGCCCTGCAGGGCCGCGTCCTGAGCCGGTCCTTGCAGACGCACGTGAGTGGAGCCACAGTGAATTGGGGCACTGCAGGACACAAGGGCCACCTTGCTCACCGCGCCCGGCTGCCCGGGTCCTCTTGCCCTGGGACGGGCCCTGGCCACTCCCTGTGGTGAGAGTGAGTGGAGGGCGCACACCCTGCAGGGCAGGGCCCGGCTCAAGTCCCGTTTTTCCTAGGTTGAGGGCTGTTGGGCTCCCCAGCGGGGAGCCTCTTCTCCCCGGGACCTGCTCGGGGGCCTGCTGAGTCTGCAACTAGTTGCAGTCCTGAATGCTGCGGCACCCAGGGAGAATTCAAGTGGAGTCTGGTCTCCTGGAAAACAGGCACAGGCCAGCTCACTGCCCTCCTCCCAAAGCAGCCCACAGGGCAGAGGGCTCCCCCCCCATGACGGTGTACAAGCCCCCAAGGACAGGCAGAGATGCGAGCCACTGGGGTCCAGCCTGGCCCGGGCACTGGCCAGGTGCTTCTGCTGGGACACAAGTGGGGACCCCTCAGTCCTTCAACCTGACTGCTACCCCGCCCACCTATGGCCCCCACCAGCCTTTGATCAAAGCCAACAACGGCTCTCCTGGGCAGGGGGCTTTGACCTAAGTCCCCCTGCCATGGGGAAAAGGATTTACCAGAAGGAGATACACAGAATGGGCCCTGGGGGAACCCAGCTGGCATTACCTTGTTCCCCCCAAAAAAGAAATACATATTTACATCTGTAGCCAGAAACTCCCAAGTTCCTGAAAACCAGGCGGCCCAGCAAGGCCCTGGCGGAAGGAACTTGTGAGATTATAGTCGTTCCCTCGGGCCTCCAGCAGAAGCCGGGGTTCAGAACCCAGCCTGAGCAGGACATTCCCTCCAGCTTTTATCAGCTTGGGCGGAAGTGACAGGCTAAGGAACAGGGTGACTGCTGCTGCTCCTCTGACCTCTTCCCTCCAGAGCCGCCAGGAGCCCCGGATCACTGACTCCGGGGCACTGTACCCAAACCTGAGAAAGACCCCAGCTAAGGGGGCAGCAGAACACAAACCTTCGAAGGCTGCATCAGTGCCAAAGTAAGAGAGCACCTCGTCGGGCTCCAGAGCCTGCAGAAAGCTCTGAGGAAAGAGAAAGGGAGAGATGGAGGAAGAGAAAAAGGAGGGGAGATTGAGGGGGAGAGAAGAGAATCAGACAGAGAAGGGGACAGGCTGGGGAGGCAGAGGAAAGCAAGCGACCGTCTGGGACAACTGGCCCACTAGAAGAAACCAGCCCCTCCGTGGAGGGTTAGCGACCTTCATCCCCCAACCCCAGGCACCGTCCCTCCACCCAGCGTCCCTGAAGCCGAAGTCAACGTGGTCAGCGGCAAGAAGACCGTGACCCAGCGCTGGGCTCCGGCTCAAGCCCACCTGCTGGAAGTCTGACAGCCCCCAGCAGCCCAGGACCAGGAAGGCACTGGTGAGGACTCCCCACGCACAGGTCGGCTGGAGCACAGCACATTGTGCCGCGGTGCGAAGCTGTCTCATCCTCTGGACCAGCCTGAGGGCGCCGGTGGGACTGCGGCTGCAGCCCTGTGATCTCAGTGCGGAAGCCCCTGCTCACTGGCCCGCTGGCTGAAGACACCAGGCAGTGTTTACTCTTGGGAGCTTGCTGGCCTCCTCCCAGCAGGAGCGGGAGGGCAGCCTGCAGCCTGCAGCAATCCTGCTGCGCCCTGAGGCCCCCAGCCAGTCCTGCCCTGGGGAGCCTGCTCCTGAGGGGGAAGGGCCCTGGAGATGCGGGCATGCCGAATGTGGGGGCTTGGGCAGTCCCTGAGGGTCTCCACCCCAGTCTGCACACAGGTACCGCAGCTCTGACCCCCAACAAGCTGCTCCTCCTGACACCCCATTTGATGGGTTTGTTTTTATGAGTCCTTGCTGGCTGGGACTCACCCGTTTGCGCCCCTTCTCGCCCCTGCCACTCCACTGTCCAGCTCTCGCTCCCCTTCCATTTGTGAAAGGTCTCTCCCTCTACTTCCGTCACCTAGCTTCTATTTTGTTCTTTATTTCTAATTTGGGTTTCTCATGTAGGAGACGCCGGGCGCTGTCCAAGCTTGCGCGTCTAGTCTCACTCCACTTGATGGCCTCGGGCTGCGCCCATTTTCCTAACAAATGACTCAGGCTTATCCTTCTTTGTGGTGTTTAAGTGCCACACTCCCCTCATCCATTCATCTGCGGATGGATACATAGGCTGCTTCCAAGACCTAGCTGTTGAGCAGGCCAGATGGCTCAGCGGACTAAAGGCCTGCTTAGGCAAGCACAGGGTCTGTGGTTCAATCCCCGGCATCACATGTCCCGGGAGTGCTGAGCTGGCCACCGAGACTGGCACAGTGATGCACGCCTGTAATCCCAGCGCTGGGGTGGCTGAAAACAGGATTGCTATGTGTTATGGTTTGTGTCTAGTTGTCCCCCCAAAGCCTCATGCAGTCATGGGGTGAGGACTTGTAGAGTTTGTGTTAACTCAGGATCCACTGGGATTATATGTGATCCAAGGCTGGGATTATGGGTCTTAGTACTGCTGGGATTACCCATAGGTGAGTAGGTACTGGGAAGTACCCATAGGTGTGAGTACTTCCCTTACCCTGGGGCAGGTAATTTGCATTACAATGTAAGCTGGCAAGAGAAGCCAGCTGCCTGAGCTGCTGCCGCCCTCCCTTGAGCTCTTGCTCTTTGCCGCCACCATGAAAGGTTGCTTTCTGCTCTGTGCCGCTCTGCCTTGGAGCCAGCTGAGTGTGGACTGAACCCTCCAGTGACTGCGAGCTAAATAAACCTTTCCTTCCTTCATTTTGAGTGTCGGGTATTTGTCTCAGCAAAGAAAGAACAGTAAGGAAGACACTATGGGTCTGAGCTGTGTAGCGAGACCCTGTACCAAAGACATAAAAGACATAGCTGGTATGAGCTGTGTAGCTATACACACAGGCAGGCGTGGGGTACTGCAACACGGTTCTGAGGACGTCCAGAAGGGCAACAGCTGGGTCAAATGGAATTCCTAGTGTTAGTTTTCTGGGGAATCTTCATACTGATTTTCATAGTGGTTGCACCAACAATAAAGACTTCTTTTTCTCAGGGGCTGGAGAGATGGCTCAGTGGTCTAAAGCACCTACTTGAAACAAGCTTGGCAAAGCACAGGGACCGCAGTTCGATCCTCAGCACCACATGCCAGCCAGACCCGCCCCCCTGGTGGGCTGAGCTGGCCACACACACACAATAAATAAAAATGTAATAAATAAAAATAAATAAATATTAAAAAAAAAAAGACTTCTTTTTCTCTCTGTAGCCGCATCAGCATTTATTATTACTTGATTTCTTTCTTTCTTTCTTCTCTTCCCTTCATTCTTTCGCTCCTGGAACTGGGAATCGAACTTGCAGCCTTGTGCTTCTCAGACAGCTGCTGTGCTGCTGAACCCAAGCCCGGCCCTATTACCTGACCATGGTCATCCTCTCTGGTGTGAGATAGACTCTGGTGTCACTTTGCTTCTCTCTATTGGTCAAGACATTGAGCATCGTGTAGTTATTGGCCATATGACATATCCCTTGCCCATTTTTTTTCATAATTTTATTGATAAACAGCAATAAGACAGTTTCAAATCAAATCGCTAGGACAGTTTCAATAACTAACACACTGCATACATTCTTCTGAGTGGTTAATTGCTGTGCAAGATGCGGACTTGTGATCCTATTTACAAACACCATTAGAACAAATCATTCTATTCATTAAGAGAATGTAACTATATATCTATCTTAACCACTTTGAATACACTGATACAAAATGGACATTCATCTGTATACCCTTTTTTTGTTAAGTTCCGTTATTTGAATATTATAGGTGTGTAAACTCAGCAAAATATTCTAAAA